CAGCTAGATAAGGACAAGGCAGGCTCTCTCAGAACACTCCATGCCCTCCACTGCCCAGAAGCAAATCTGTACCCCAGTGCTGGGCAGCCCCATGTGCACAGAGCTCTCCCCCTGATCCACAGTCCTTCCTGAAGGCACAGCTGAATCAAACTCAAAAGCTTTGTTAAAAATACAGACACAGAGCAATGACTCATGTAAGACTTCATAGAGGAGCTTCTGCTGCACTTCTCCAACCTTCCCAACCCTTTCCTCTCAAAGCATAGGAAATGATTTTGAATAATTGGTTCCATTTTGAGCCATGTACACAGTATTTATAGAAAACTTATGAGTCAATTTGAGTGAGGTATGATGCCAAAATGTGCAAAGGAGTGAAAACATTGGTTGTTGTTCTTGTTACCATATGTATAAAACACTTCACCAAAGTCTCCAATGTTTGTACTGCTAATACATGGAAGGTGGGGTTTGAACATTTTTAAAGGATGGTTCACTTTGGGAAATGTCAAGTATAATACAGAATTAGCTTTAGCACCTCCTGAAAGCAATGCATCATTTGAACAAATTTTCTCAGAGATGCTGTCTAAGATGAGAACAGGCTGTATACAGTTACAGCCAAAGAAATATTCATTGTTAAACCTAAGTTTAGATTTTCATGCACTGAATGTTACACTTGCTATCTTGAGTACAAGTTCCCTAAAAGAAAAATCTACACTCACCTGACGAACATTGGGAAGACTGTGTAAAATGCCATGCCTTGGATCATGGAGTGTCACTGCTCTGTTCAACTCATTTGCTATCTCAGTAACTGAAGCTTCTGGATGGAGTCCAAGTCCAACTTACATTACACCAAATCCCACTTTAAAGCCAAGTGTGTTGGAAGAAGAACCTTATACCTGTTTGAGGATGCTCCTTCAGTCTGGGTATGACATCTCTGTGTGATATGTACTACATTTAGAAATGGCTACAGCCCATATGTGGCTCACCCTGCTGTATGGTCACCCAGATGAGTTGGCAAACTGAGAAAGAGAAGGAGTACAAGGGCTTATTCTTTTCTCCTGCCACGTCCTCCCCCGTTGCCATTTCCTCCTTCTCAATGCCATGATACCTATAGCTATAAAGCCAGCAACTTTAACAACTGATACGGTTTAGTTAACAAAAGGTACAGCAAGCTGAAAGGCACCAAAACAAGCTAAGGAACAGAAAATGACACTAGGTCAGAGCAATCCCTGCTTGTTCTCTCATGAACTTGTTTGGCAGACTTGGAGGCTGAGTCCACAGAAGACTGTCAGCGTGGTGCTCTTGTCTGTGCGTTCTTCTGCCTGTGTTCTCCGGCACTGAATTGAGGGGCCCAGCTTAGTACCCTGCTTGCCACTGACACACCAAGTAAAATTCTAGGTACAATTAATGTCCGAAATCTTGGCTCTCCAAAATTCTAGCAGGAGTTGGGGGTGTCGTGTATGTGGTTGAGTGGGTTTAAGACACTGGAAGGTCTGTGGCTTTTGCTTGTAGTACATTGTGTGTTTAGCCAGATAGTGGTAACATGACCTTCATAGTTATCTTTATTGTGGGCTTTTTCAATGACATTTCTTTTCTTAGCACCCTTTGCTTAAAGAGCAGTGACCTAGATCTTTTCCCAAATTGGACTGTTCTAAACATTGGTCAGTCAAAACTATCATACTGGTTTCAAGAAACTTATCAGGCCTCCCCCAGGCAAAGTAAGCACCTCCAATTTAATAGTTCCTACTTAAGGATTTGCCTAAAATACAGTCACCTTGCATGACTCATACAGTGAAGGCTGAAGCAGGTAACATTTATGCTAGATACAAAGCTACTGCCCTGCTAAGACAGCAGGGTAAAGTAGGACAGAGGTGGGGGGGTGGGGTGACGAGTGAGTGTGTGTGTGTGTGTGTGTGTGTGGGTGTGTGTGTGTGTGTGGTCACTGTGAGATATATGGAGTGTTTTGATAAAGGTGTCAGTTTATATTCAAGTGGTTTAATCTATTGTGCATTATGTTTTGCAGATACACTCTGTATGTTCTTTTCCAGGTATATTTTACATTTAAAATGGGAAAAATATTTAATATTAGGGAGCGAATTAATAATGCTTGGGTCAATGAATACTTTGGCCCATGAATTCAGAACTCTTCCTGCCTGCTTAGTTTCAGATAAACCCAGTTACACACCACTGCCCTGATATTCGTCCCAGGAAACTTTGAGTCAACTACCCACACTTGTTGGCAAAATAAAGAATTGAAAATAACTAGTAAAACATCTCAGAACTTGCAAAAATGGGGGGGAACAGCAGTATTTATCTTGGATACAATATGAAGTGTTTTATACCAAATTCAGTGCTACTTGGCAGCACTTAGTTTGAAGTCAGTTAATTGTCCTCCTTTTAGACTGAAGATAACGTAGTAGGTAGCAGGCAGTCTGTTCTTTTGGGTTTGAGCAGTTAAGAGGATTTCAGACTTTATTTTAATTGCCCAATTAACTTCTTAACTATCCTGCTATCTTGGGATCAAAACTCTGCTGATGATTTTAGGCTTCCAGCTAATAGCACAAGGAGAATTGAATTTGCCAGCAAACACTCACGGAATGGCTAGGCACAAGTTTGGGTCAAGAATGAAGAAAAAAAACTGATAAGGAGAGATTCCCAGTTTTTAAAAATTCTATTCAACGTTTCAACTCCTGGGTTGGACTCCACTTTTCTGGGGATCTGAGACTAAACCACTGTAACAGTTGGTGATGTGGTGATGTTGTTACACATACTTCCAGTATACCCACTACTCCATATACTTCATAAGCTGCAAAATAAATTTCTCCAAAGCAACAACCAAGTCAGTCCTTGAACAACTTCCAAACATCTTGGAGAAGAGGGGGAAAAAAACTGTAAATAAACTCTATTCAGAGAGATCAAAGTAGGCAAGGTACCATGTAATACAAAGATGGTAAGTTGTATATGTAAGGGGGTGACTAGCATTTCCAGTGAGATTGTTTCCAAGAGTCTTATAAAGGCCTGTTCAGCACTGAGTTGTTTCAGACACTCCGGTATGAGAGAGGGGCTGGCTTCCAGTTCCCTAGACAAACAGCTAAGTCTAAGCAGAGAAACAAAGGGGTCTGGCCTCAGAGGGGAGCTTATCTTGTTACAGAAGGGGGCCACAAGGTAGTTTGAAAAGCCACTGTTCCTTCCATGTGAAGAGGCACCTCCCTCCGCACAGGGGCTGTCCTTGCCATGCCCCCTTTGGGAAGTATTGCCAAAGGTGCTTTCCTTAAGGTGGGTGATGTGAGCTGAGTCGGGCATCATCAAGAGTTAGGTCCGATCCTGTGGTACCCGTTGGCCACACATATGGCAGTTTCACTTGAAAGCCACACTGCTTCCCTTAATGGGGGCATCATCTCAAAGTTACTCATGGCCCAGGAATTAAGTGAGATCAGGATATAAGAACAGGGACAAAGCTCAGGGATGAGTCTTCCAGGACAGAGGCAGAGTCCACTGCGGCACTACAGATTCCACCTGGCCACCAGGGGCTACCCCTGGAGCCCGATATCCACGCACTGTCCCGCCCGGGCTGCCTCCTTCCAAGATCCCTTCCACTGCAGAAGTAATGGCCACCCCCACCCCCCATCTCCACCCCGCCCACCTGCGCCTCCTTCTTAGCCACCCGCAGCCACCTCTGAGGGAGCGCGCATGCCACGCCAAGTATGTTGTGCTCCGGTGCTCCGGAAGCCCAGAGGCAGCGACAGCCACTTGCTGCCCAGCCCTGGAGCTCTGGGCACAAGGGCAGCCGCCGAGAGCCATGATCTACAGCACCGCAGTGCCAGCATCAGGAACTTCCAGCCCAGGGGCTGCCACTGCAGGGTGGCCTGTCTCCCCACCCCCTCCTTTCACCAGGGCCTAAGACCCAGAAACCCTGGTCCTAGGGTCCCTCTGAACCCTGGCTGGAGCGAGGGGACAGCATAGATCCTGAGCTGCCAGCACGGGCAGTCCTGGGAAAGGCTGCTCTCAGCCTCCTGGTTGGCGCTGGGGGCGGTGCTGCCACCGCGCAGTCCTCCAGCCTGGCCTTGCCAGAGCAGCTCTCTCTAGAACCCCTCAGCCTGAGACACAGGGAGGTGAACCCGGGGAGGGGCGGGGGGGGGGGGGGTCGCCCATCCCAGAATCCAGCTGCATTTGTATTTCTTATGTAATGCACTGCAAGTTTCCCACTCTGAATCCTTCAGCACCAGCGAAAAAGCTTCAAGACTGGCCCCAGGGCCCTGGGCTTGTCCTGCAGTGGGACTGTTCCTTACAGGGCAGGTTTCAGTCACACCCAAGAGCCGGCGCTGGGCTGGTGGCCCACAGGCAGCAGCCAGCTCCTGTGTTCCCAGGGGCAGGCAGTGCTGGAGGCAGATGGGAGAATGAGTTAATCCTCGGGCACCCGGAGCCAGACGGGGGCGGGAGGCGGGGGCTGACGGAGGCGCAGGGCCGCCAGGGAAGGAGGTGGAGGGGAACCGCTTTTACTTCGGCAAAGGTGCTGGGGTGGTGGCGGGTATTGTGCAAGCTCATCAGAAAGTCTGGGGCCCAGCAGCTCCCCCCTCCTCCACACACACACACACACCAAAATCTGCAGCCCAAGTAAGGGGGGACCCACAGGGATTTTTTTCCTGGTGACTACCAAAGCTTAAGCCATAATCCTCTGATAGTCCACCCAGCACAGGCAACCAAATACATTTATTTAAAAAAAAAAAAAAGTTTCTCCTCCCTGCTCATGCTGGATTGTGTCACAGCCAAGAGATGCCGATAATGATTTGGAGGGGGGTTCGCGGCGGCGGATCCAGCTGCTACTTGTTTATTCATGCAACAACTCTATATGCAACACTGTCCGGCTTCCTTGTGCGTTCCCTGGCCTTTCTGCATACATAGCAGAACTGCAGACCCAGTCCGAGGAGCGACAGACAGGTTATCATGAGGGTAAATAAATAAATAAACAAATAAATAGCACGATGCACTTTTTTGCTTTTGCTTACCAGTTGGGGTCTTGTTTTTCTTAAGACTCTTGCCACAAAGACACTGCAGCATATGCGTTCCTTTGCTGAAAATGTTCCAAAGAAACCACATTGATTTGGGCGAAAAGCAATCCAGCAGCTTAGACACCCTGAGAAAGAAGAGATCCTTGTGGTTGCATAATAATAATTTGAAATCAGTTCTCCTGGAGAGGGGCACCGGTTTTACCATAGGAAAAACGATAATATTCCGGATCTTCTCCCAGTTCTTTCCCCTCACGTGGTCTATTTCTTTGAGACTTCTCAGTGATTGTTTTTTTTCGGCCAGGGTGAAGGATTTATTTTTTCCCCCACCTTGTTCACCACTGGATTCTTACCAAAAGCTGGGAGGGGGGAATCCTTTTTCAGCACACGAGGCCAAACGAAAAACAGCAGCGAAATCCCAACTGTGAGAGCAGAACTAACCGGGGGGAACAGGAATGCTCTAAAGGTCCCCAAAGAGAAAACCATAGCCTTTCACTCGGTCGCTCTCAGGCTTGCTGGCTGGCTGGCTCTGCGGGAGGAAAGCTGGATTCATCTCACTGAGAAAAGACTGCCATTGTGTAGCTCCTAGGAGAGAAGGGGGAAAAGGAAAAGAGAAAAGAGGAAAGAAAAAAATAAAGGGAAAAAGAAAAAGAAAAAAAATACCACCACCACACACACTCACACACCAATACCACCGCCGGGATTGGGTCTGACAGCCGGAGCCAGAGCCTCCCTTCTCCCAGGGCCGATCTGTTTCTTTCTGCTCTTTCTTTTATAATCAATCGCCAGTGCTCAGTGGGATCGCATTGAACCTGCAGTGTTCCCAATCATCACCATGAAGAAAACATGCCAGTCTAGGCGCCCCCTCCCCTGCTCAGTCTTGTAGCAGGTCCAGAGCGCCACAAACCCCCTTCCTCCTTCCGCTCACTCTTCCAGCTTCCCACAACCGTGAGCATGAGGAAAGATCTCCCCTCCGGATTCCTCGCCCAGCCTCCGACGTGAGTTACAGGCATTAGAGGGAGGAGGAGGAGGAGTTGAAGTTTGCATTGAAAAGACTGGCTTTCCATGACGTAGCCACGTGCTTTCAGACCGTCACCAGTGAGGCGCTTCAACCCGCGCCGGCCCAGGGAGGGCAGTGTCACTGCGGTCCCTCCAGAGTGCCCCTCCTGGAGGCTTCCCACCCGGGGCTCTGGCCCCCAGCCCCAGCGAGACCCCCTCCTTCCTCTGCCCTGCCCCAGCTGGCCTGCTGCTGGTCTCGCACGCACCCTAACAGCCTTCTGTGAAAAGTGAATGTTGAAAGGGAAAATGAGCAGTTATGAAGAGTAAACCTCCAAGAATGCATTGGGGCTGGAAGGGGGAGAGGGGAGAGAAACAGGAGTTCAGTACATTCCATTGAGCCATAAGGACCAGCACCTTCTTGTTTTCAAAAGCAGCATAAAAAAAAAATCTCCAGATTGCTGTGGCTATTATTTGAACCCCACTTAAGGTGTCTTTAAAAACACAAACCAGGCATAACCCCAGGATGTCATATGTTGCCTGTTAAAAGGACGAACACCAGAATCTTGGGTGAAAGAGCACATTTTCCTGGGTAGGGTCAGAAGCATTGTGAGAAGTTGTCTTTTCTGAACAAACAGCCCACTATGTTGCAATATTTTTTTGTACAGAAAGCAGCCTGTTTAAGTTATGCCCTAATTCACTGCTTGCCTTCTGCAGCCTCTGGTCTGACTGGCACCAAGTTCACCCTTATTTACTGCTCATCCTCACACTAAACTAACAAAATGGGCAGATTCTCTGTTTTCCTGAACTTATAACCCAGCTTCTTATTTGCCAGAAAATCCAAAGATTTAGAGCAGAGCTCTTGGTTTATTTTATTGTGGGAAATATACAATGTACAAAGCATTACAATCTACTACATAGAATACACAACTCCAAAGCACCCACTACTCAAAATTAATAGAAATTAGTATTTCAACATATTGTGAGGTGAGGTTCTTGGTATGAAACTGACCACCATTCTCTTGAATAAATGAGCTAAAATTATACGATGCAGGTTAAAGAAAATACAATATTGGCAGTCTACAAAAGTTTGAGAATGATAGAAGGATTGCTATAAGTCCATTGATACAGTGCTGAAGAATTCATGAAGAAGACTGCAGAATGGAAAAACATTCTCTTACGAAAGAGGAAAGATGGGATTGTATTGCCAAATAACTAGAAAAAACTCATGTCAATCAGGGACAGATACTCTATGCTGCTTTTATAGTTTTCTGATGTCCTCTAATGGGCTTAAGAATATACCAATATATTTCCTCTGGCCAAATGTCAGGGAAACAAGTGACAAAACTTTTCTCCATCAATAGGCCAGCATTGTGCATCCCTTTCAGAGTGCGGTTGCAGTCCCAGCTGCTCTGCTTTGAATCTAGCTTCCTGGTAATAAGCCAGGGAAAGCAACTGAAAATGGTCCCAAATATTTTACCTTTACCATCATGTGAACAACTGGATGGGATTCCAGTTTCTAGGCTGTGGCTATTTGGGGAGTGAGCCAACAGACAGCTCTCCCTCCCCTTCTCATTCCTCCTCCTCTTCCAGCTCTCCTTATGTCATTGTCACTCTGGATTTCAAATTGGAAAATAAATTTATTATTTCTACACTGAGATTTCTTAAAACTCTCAGGCTCTAAGTTTCAAAAAAAGATTAATTCCCTGGGGTTCTTCATTGAGTAAAATATAGAGAGATTTACAGATTTTTATACATGCTAAATTTGTATTAAGAGAATTTCTCAAACTAACTCTTCTTAAAATTTCGCATCCGTCTCTCTGCTCTACATTGTGAAGGTCCATTTGTTTCCTTTTAAAGAAGGACTCCCTAAAATTAGTTTTCCTTGCAACATACTTGTGGAAATTCGCCATCATCATCAAGGAACAACGTGACAGATAATTGATCATGAATACTCTTTAGTGAGAACATGTCATGCTTAGCATTGTGCTATTCACATTCCATTCTCTGCAGCACAAAGAAATCTTTCTGTGTAATGCATAGAAGCTTGATATTTCTATGTTTCTTCTCTATATTCACTGATATATTAGTCATGTCACACTGAGCATTATTCACATCAAACAAACAAAAAGAGCAATCATTTTTGCTTGAAAATGATGACACCAATTCAGGTTTCTTTGGGGCCAAAGAACCCATATTATCCGATGTGCTCTGAGTAACCCAGTTCCATCATTCAACCAATACTGAGCATCTCCTGTTGCAAGAATTCATTCTGGATACTAAGGCATGACATTGAACCAAGGCCTCAATGATGCAACAAAGACAAAGGTGGTCCTAGAATCAACCTGTATTTCTGTGGGCACCCAAGTAAGGGATGATTCAAAAATACTTTTCATATTGACTTGAATCACACATTATTATTTAAGCTTTACTTCAAGAAAAATAAGGAAAAACCTCAGTAAAACCATAAGAATTGACCATAAACTCTATATTGCATCATTTTTTTGTATTTAAGACATTTTTGTAAAAATAATGTAATACAGATGGAATACTTATAACTAGGCTTATTTACAAATTCAACTTCCATTCAGCATACCATTAAACTATCTGAAGATACAAGTAATGAACACAAGTTCACAACACATACCTTGTATTTAAATATTGGAAGTGGATTTTTGTATTTATCAAAACAACATGTAAAGCTATTATAACATGACTTGTTAGTCCCAATATTCTCGTGTTTAACTCTTCCTTTTAGTAGTAAAAGCCCACTCCTACCACCAGTTTTGGAAGCGCAGGCAAGTACACAAAGAGAGAGAATATAATCCCCAACCCCAATACAACTATGTATGGTCATGACTAGATTCCGATCAATGGGATGTAAACAAAAGTTACATCGCCCTCTCCCTGCTCCCACTCTTTTAGAAGACATTGTTTTCCTCCATCTTTTCCTTCATCCGAGCAACAAGTTAATTATGTGAGCAGTTTGGACAGTATACAGAAACATACACTGCGAATAGAGTAAAACAGAAGACACCTAGAACCTTGGACAGCACCACAAGTTTACCTCGGGCTTTCTACCTACCTCTCCTCAAAGTAACACTCATCTTACTTGAGCCTGGCTTAGTCCCTTGCCTCTGCTGCAACAAAATACCACATCATGGGCAAAAGAATAAAGTACATAAGTAACACATAGCCTGTGGCTTTATTCACACTTAGCCACTGTCCTCTCCATGCCCTAAGCAGCTTCTCTCCTCCTGGTTGCCTCCTGCAAATTACACTCACTTATCCATGGTGCCAGTGGAAACATCACAGTGTCCTATCTCACTTTTTCTACTTCCTCCCCTGCCAGTTTATAGCTTAAGACAGTGAAGTTTTGGTCACTGAGAGAACACCAGAAAGAATCAAGAGTTGCTCATAAAGGGACCGGGGCATGTACAAAATGCCTGAGTTCAATACCAGCTCCACGCTTGATTTCAGCTTCTCGTTGGTGCAAAATATTGGAAATTATGGCAATGGTTCAATTGCTGGGTGTCTCCTACCCAAATGGGAGTGCCTGGATTGCGTTCCAAGTACCCAGATGCGCTTAGCATCTGGAAAGGAAACGAGCAGATCAGGAGTGTTCTGTCTCTCCCTGCTTCTCAAATAAATGTACCTCTGTTTTGCCATTTGCACAATTCCAAATTTCATATCCTTACACTAATTGATAATATCCTATCCTTTCTCTCCCTATTTCCTACATTGAAACTTCTGTACCTCTGAGCTTCCTTTTTTCTATGTCTGTTGTCTGCCTTGGTGCAGGAGCCGTTCAGAAGTTTCTGCTTCCTCTCATCGTGCAGAAGTGCCGGGTCAGGGTCAGAGCCCGTGCTTGCACTTCTCTATGCAGGTCGGGAGACCAAACTCTCCAACTCTTCACAGGGCTTACATGCCCCCTGACATTTATAGCTTTTTCACAGTCTGTGTCAGTATCCTTTAGTCAACCTCCAGCTACCAGCACCTCCATCAATGAGCCTGAAGAATTTCTTTTTCATAAACCAGAAGACCCCTTGGGGCACTCAAACAAAAGCCTTGGGAATTCACACTCCTAAGTACTATTTCTCCAACACCAGCAATCCCAGCTCCCTTGCTTCTTCCAAAGGGTAACAAGATGTGATTAAACATCGTCTCCCACTGGGGTACTCGACCACAACATTACCAGCTTTTCCCCCTCCCCTACATCTGTTCCCTCCCACCTGATATCATACCTCTCAAATAAATAACCTGCAATGGAATCTTCCTCTTCCAGAAAAGCCAAGACAGGCCAATAGTGAATGGAAAAGGCAGTGAGCTAGGTAAGTGCACCTGCTCCCCAGATCGAAGTTTTGAATGACGCCGTCATTCCCATCTGGGGAAGGAGCATTCAGGGGAATCCAGTTCTTGCTCAAAGCTCACATTTCCTTCTGCATGTTTTACCAGCAATGCAATGAATAGATGTATTTGCATCTTAAAACTTGTGCTGT